TTCCATTATTTTAACTTTTAGTCCAAATAGCAATCTTCTTATAGAGTAGAATTTAAAGCAATACTGATTTTTATTGCTTATGGCAAAAAAGAAGATGCAACCTCTTAAACACATTTTTTTAATTAGAATTTGTCATGGATTTTGTTTCCAACATAACAACTCATTAGAAAACATTAAGTCCATGGAATTTATACATTAACATCAAAACATAAAACAAACTACACACTAACATAACCACTACCCATAATCAAATAAAAGAAAATAATCCCATATATCGAAATGTCTCTTTTGAGAGTTCGAGTAAAGGCAATTCCTTGATTACAAGTGAGATCACAGGTAAAACTCTGTAGCAAGGTGAGAATAAGAGCATACAACCCATGTTTACCTTCCTGTTAGTGGAAGAAAGGCTCAAAGCTTTCTCAGGGACTTAAAAGTTGCACTGGCAGCAAATGAAGCTGAAGGTAACAAAGAATTTGTTGAGAATAGAGGTTGGCTCAGTCCTTTCAAAATGAAAGCAAATTTACATAACCTTAAAGGACAAGTAGGAATTTTCTGTAAATCCGACATCTGTAATCTGGAGACTTACTATATTTAAAATCAGAACAAATGATGGTTAACAGTGCATACAGAGGACATGAACTTACCTCCCCTAAAGCCTCATATCTTTTCTGGTTCCATCTGTGCAAGTCTTCCCGGTAGTTAAAAACAAACGGTTCCCCAGTTTTTGTGTGTCTTAGCTGCCCCTCTAGAAGATAAACAAGCAATATTCTTTTCATGGTTCTGAATATATTCATAATAATATTGAAATGATAAATCAAATCGGATAAAAATTTTAAACAACTAAAATTTTATTTTTTCACACTGAATTTTTTTTGTCAAATATTAATATGATACAAACATGTTAACTACATAAAAGAATGGTCCTCAAGTATTGAAAAGCTATGCTTCTTGATCTTCATTTATCCAATCTAAGGCAAATTAAAAATAATTGGAGGTCTTCTATGCATAAAGATCTACTGCCATAAGCTCAGTCCTCAAGACACTTAGAGGCTACCTAAGGAAGAAAAGTGTAAATAGTAGAAAGCTAAGCAACTTTTCAGGAAATTAAACAATAATGAAATACAATAGTAAATAAAAAGAGTATTGTCACCAAGTTCTAGAAACCTTTATTAAACAAAACTATCAAAATGTGAAGTTATCATTTCTTGGCATTTCCTCCTTCCATGTTAGTCTATGATAAGGTGATGTTTCCATCTCTATAAACCACCTGACTAAGAATTCTGCATTCTTCCATTTATACTACATTGAAAAGGCATCCTTGAGGGTCTCAAATTATATTTCCTTGAAATGTTGAGTTTGATGGCAAGATCAGGAATGTAGGGCAGCAGTTCTCAACCTTCCTAATGCCTCAACCCTTTAATACAGTTCCTCATGTTGTGGTGACCTCCCAACCGCAAAATTATTTTTGTTGCTACTTCATAACTGTAATTTTGCTACTGTTATGAATGGGACGACCCCTGGGAAAGGGTCATTCGACCCCCAAAGGGGGTCATGACCCACAGATTGAGGACTGCTGCTATAGGGTGTATGAGACAGACTTTACAATAGCCAACTCCAAAAGGAGCAGTTACATTTTGTGATGCACAATTTATTCTCAAACAATTTTCCTGGCCTTTTTCTCAGTTTTC